AGCACAAGACATTTTCAAGGAAAAATAACCAATGGTTCCCCTATCGTTTCGCCGTCACGACGAGAAACAGGTGGTCACATCTACCGTTATGAAAAATTCTTGTTGTAGCACGAAGGTGAAAAACATTTTTTCTTTTTGCTACAACGAGAAATTGCAGACAGAACATTTGTTTTTCCTTCCGGTGGTTAATGTGCACCCATGGCGGGTGACATTAGCATTCGTCATACACAAACATGATGTCGAACTGCATTTGGGATGATATGGAAGCATGAACAGCGGATCGTACAATCATCAAAAAATGATAAATATGATTATGTAGGGCAGGTCGAAATGCCGATGCGAATCTTTATGAAATGCATGTTTCGCAAATTCGAACAGGTAAGATTCAAGGAAGCGTCACGCCTAATTGTTATTTTCATGCATAGATGTTCCGCTCATTTGTATTCAAACAACGGGGGTTTTTATTTCAGCATTTTTGGACAACATAAAATAATAAATGCCATCATCGGTTCATTACGATTTCGCGTTCATCGCATTGCCAATACCCCCACTGACAAGCGTGTTGCCTCTGAAGAAAAAAGTCATGTACCCAAAAACGAGGTCATCCCATGCAACATGGCATGGACGAAATACTAATAAAACATTTCGCGCAACATGACCATGTACATAATATACCACCGTTATCGTAAAAGGTTTCGAAATAGTGCGTTTTGTGGGGTATGAGCAGACTATCTCGAAAAAATAAGATCGCGCTTGAGCATATCTTCTGAACGCAGTTTGCTTCATCGGCAAATTGTGCAATAACATTTGCATTCTGTTTTTTCGCCATGGTTTAATTCTGACGTGCATGCCTGGTTTCAATAAATTTCATTTATTGAAACGATAAAACGACTAACATTTTCTTACGCGAAGCTTGCGGGTCCGAACCGAGAAAAACAATCAAATACGAAATTGCGCCCAAACAGACTTCAAAAACAAACATCAAATTTTTGTGTGACTTTTTTCGCCGGAAGGGTTTTCCAATACTCCAACATGTTTCGTGGCCGATGGATCTTGGAAATCAGTGTGGATTGTTTTGCCCTCCTGCGCCCGACCAATCGAAAAACAAATTCTTACATGTTTAAGCACCGCATTTACTCACTGATGTATCGAGAAACGCGCCCCATGGGAACTGACTGGGCAAACGAGGAAGACATACGCAAACAAATGTGCTCTTTCGAATCTGATATTGCCGCTCTGGGGCCTCGATCCTTGGAAAGAGAGCGTCCGACTAAGATTAGAAGGGCGCTCGGGGGTGGTCTGCCAAGGCCTGTGTAGCCCTGCGGATAGCATAATAGAAGCGGTCTCTGGCAGCCTCGGACTCGAGAAGGCCACGGTCAGGAGCCGTGCGCACATCATTGTACATCAATCCGCTCAACCTCTTTATGTTTATATATACATATATACATACATATATTCCCCAATCGGTGCTTGCACTGAAGGGGTCCTAATGGAGGTTGAGAGATTTGGCAATGATTTCCCGCCGATTTTTGTCGCCGAGGTTCCTGGTTCCGGGGCGATTTCGGTGGGCGGCGGGGTTCCCAAGTTCATGGGTTCCTGGTGGATCTTTTTATCGCTCGGTCTCGCCATGGATCCCATTACCCGTTTCTCCATCGATCTCATGATTGATCTCTCTACAGATCTTACTATCCAATGCTTGCACTGAAGGGGTCCTACCGGGAAACAAACTGGGTTCCCGGGTTCCCGGTTCCGGATTCCCAGGTTCCCAGGTTCCTGGTTCCGGGCCGATTTCGGTGGGCGGCAGGGTTCCCAGGTTTCTAAGTTCCTGGTCGATCTTCTTATCGCTCGGTCTCGCCATGGATCCCATTACCAATTTCTCAATCGATCGCATTATCGATCTCACAATCGATCTCACTACCGATCCCACGATCGATCTCACTATCGATCTCATTGTATCGACTTCACTATCGGTCTCGCGATCGACCCTACAATCGTCCTCTTTATAGATCCTACTATCGATCTCACAATCGATCGCAATATCCGTATCACTAATTTACAAACCATCCACTGATTGGGGCTTGTCCCCGGTGTAATATATATATATATATATATATATATATATATATATATATATTATATATATATATATATGTATGTAGGTATGTATGTATATATATACATAACAACGAAATAAGGAATCAACGAAAAACAACGCGTAAACACATAACCCTCTCATTACTTACATCAATCGTGGATTGGGACTCATCTGCGAGAAGATAAGCCGTGTTTTGCGGTCTAATCCGATGTGCCTGGAAAACGATGTAGCGTGTACGTTCACGTCCCATCAATGTTCCCGTTCCCCGCCCACTCCCGCTCCTGTGCCCGGCCCTCAGCCCCAACCCCACTCCCAATCCCGCCCAAGCATTTCATCTCCCGCTCCCGCTTCCTTACGCACCCGCGTCCACGATCCCATGTCCTTTTCGTGAATCTGTACGCCTTCCAAAGAATACTCAAGCGAATTGAAAATCAATTCGAAAATTACCGTTCGCAAAGCCCCCAGAAGGATGACGTGACAATGTAGAGGTTCCGCGTTAACTGAGCGATTTTGTCTCCCGATCGTCCTGGTGTTTGGGGATATTTAACACAAATACTATCCTCCAAGCACACTCGCTTCCCTTTGGGGCAATTGATCATGGATCGGGGAGACGGAAAATTCGGGTTCGGGGCATTCGGAGTGGCCTGACCGGGCCACCTCCGTTATTTTTGCCTTCCCTCCTTCATCCTTCCTGTCTCCTACCTTCTCCTCTCAGCGCCCTCCTCGTGCGGCGGTTCCGCCCCCGCCGTCTCCTGCCTGCTGCTTGCCCGCAGCTGAGCAGCGCGCCCGACCGTGCCAGCGATGGGGCCTAAGGCCGTGCCTGGCTTCGTCGTGTGCACGGGCTGCCGGTGCCGCTGGAACTTCCGCTCGAACGCGAAGTGCTGGCTGTGCGGGATCGGGCTGGAGCTGGCGCCCTCGAAGCCTTCGCCCCGCGTTGGGGTCTGGGCGGACGGTGGCGGCGGCGGACCCCAACTCGCACATCGCGGCGGCGGCGGCGGAGGCCCACCGAAGAATGGAGCCAAGGACGGCAAGGGCGGCAAGGGCCGCAGTGCAGCCTACCGTGGTGGCGGCGGTGCAGTCTCCCGTGGCGGCGGCGGGGGTGGCGCGGGCTGCCGTGGCGGAGGCGCCTTCCCGAGGGCCCCCTGGTCGGCCCTGCCCGAGAGCGAGCTCGACGCGCTCCTCGCCTGTGGGGGCCCAGCCATCGCAGCCAGGCTGCAGGAGGCGGTCCGCGAAGCGCGGAGCTATGTCGCGCCCGCGGTCGCCCCAGTGCCGAAGCCGCTCGAGCAACGTCTGGAGTCGGCCACGGCGAAGCGGATCAACCTCCAGCGCCAGCTGGATGAGGCGGCGGACGCGCTCGTGGCGGCGGAGGACCACCTCGCTGAATGCCGCGGCTGGCGGGACGAGGTTGCGGGCAGCCTCGCGGAGGCCAAGGAGGAGGAGAACGCCCTCCTGCGCCAGCGTGCCCAAGCGGCGGGCGTCGTGGGAGCCCAGCCCGACGGCGCGAGGCAGCTCACCTTCAACTTTGACGCGGAGTCGTTTGACAACTTCGCCGAGCTGGAGGAGGAGGCGCAGGCCGCCCTCAGGCGCCTCTGCGATGAAGGGGCTCCAGATCATGCAGGGCGCGCAGGCTACGTTCGAGCGCAACTGCCAGGAGCACCAGCAGCGCATCAAGCGCCAGATCGCGGAGGAGGCGGCCAAGAAGCGCAAGCGCACCGAGGAGGGGCCTGCAGCAGCCGTGGCCCCTGGCACCCCCGTGCAGGGCGCGGGCGCCCCGCCGCAGCCTGCAGGGCAGGCGGCCGCCCCTGCTGCCCCCGCCGCCCCCGCCGCAGACGCTGCGCCTGGAGCTGGGACTCCCCCAGCGGCAGCGATGGGGAGCCGAGCGGCAGACGAGGCGGCCCGCCAGCGCGCTGCCGACCAGAAGGCCGCTGCGGCGGCCCCTCCACCTCCTGCTGGCGCTGCTGCTGACAGCGGCCTGGCCCGCGAGTAGCACCCTGCTGCCAGGCGGCGGCCCCGACAGCGCGGCGCCGCCCGCCCCTGTTGGGGCTGAGGGGACAGAGGCGGCGGCGCCCAGCCGCTCAGAGGCGGCGGCGGCGCCGAGTGGCGGCCTGCCCGCCTGCAAGGCGGCCAGCGTGGCGGCCGACGCCTGGGTCGAACTTCCCTTCATTGCGCCGCTGCTGCGCCAGGAACGGCGCTTCGGCGTCGTGCGCCACGACACCAAGTTCGAGGCGCTCATCAACAGGACAGAGCCAAGCGCTGCGGCTGGCTTGGCTGGGCCCGACCGAAGGACTGGCAGTCCTCAGCATAGCCAGGGGCCCACGTGCCATAGCGGGTACCCAATTCAAGTTGACGGGGCTACGGGCGAGGGCGTGAGACCCCCCGAGGTTCGGAACCCCAAGGCGGCGAGCAGCCGCCCGCCTGGCGGCCCCGCGGCCGCCGCGGCAACCGAGCAGCCTGCGGCCCAGCCTCAGCCTGGGCGACCGCAGGCCAAGCCCCTCCAGCTGGCCAAGCAAATCAGGCCTACGGGACCGAAGCCAACTAGCTTCGTCACGCTGAACGTCTCGACCTGGTCAGAGAAGAAGGTGGAGATGGAGCGGATCCAGGATGGAGGAGGTGACGACGTCATCCTGGCGCAGGAGAGGCGGTGCGCCTATAGCCAGAAGGCGGCCAACGCCTGCTGCTGGGCCAGGAGCAACAGCTTCAGCGCCGCCTTCGGCAACGTCCACAGCACGGGGCAGGCGGCGCAGGCGGGCTCGGAGGGCGTCGGAGTGCTGGAGTCAACGACCTGGGGCGCGGCGGCGACCGACCACGACGGGCACCAGCGCAGTGCCCGCATCCTGGCCCGAAGGGTGGCCTTCGGTGTGCTCGCGGTCACGGAGGTCAGCGCCTACCTCGAGCTCCCGTTCAGGATGCTCAAGGAGTCCGTCGAGACCGCGGAGCTCCACCTGACCGACCAGTTCGGCATCTCCGAGGGTGAGTGGTACCAGGGCAGGGCCAAAGGACCCCGCTCTGTCAAGAAGAAGCTGGCGGACCAGCAGCGCAGGAAGGCAGTCAGGAAGCTCAGCCCCCTCACCAGTTGCCGCCTCCGCCTCGGGAGGATCGCCAGACAGCTCAGAGCGGCTGCTGCGGGCTGCTCACCCCCTGTGGGGCACGTAGGCTACATGAAGCACTTGGTGCAGGGGGCCAGGAGCTTGGGGCGCAAGTTCGAGCAGGCGGGCAGCGCCGCGTTCGAAGACAAGAAGCTCGTCTCGCTGAAAGAGGTGACCCAGGTGCCCACTGTGCAAGGGCAGGCCTTCCTGCGGGCGATCGAAAGAGCGTTGGCGTCACACAGGGGCCTCCACGGCGACGGCGACTACCAGCAGGACGAGTTCGGCTGCTGCTTCGCCCTGCGGTACTCCCCCGCCCTCTTTGCGGAGAAGGCCAAGGAGAAGGACAGGAAGGAGGCAGCGGTCCAGGAGTACGACGCCAGGCCTGCGACTCTGTGCCAGCTCCGCGGCGAGGAGAGCGGGGCCCTGGCCCGCCGCCACCACAGGTGCCCTGCCTGGGGGGGCTGGAGGCAAGGTCGCAGCCCCGCCGACTTGCTGCGAGCTGCCGAGTTGGTGGCAGAGTTTGTCGGCGAGGTCGACTTCCTGCACGCCGCCGCGGCGGAGCCCGCCCCTGGGACAGGTGGATTCAGCCCACCGAAGTCGCAGTCCCAGGGGCGCGGCGAGTGCGGGAAGTTGCACGACGCGGAGGCGCGCGGGCCTGTCGTGTCAGCGGCTGGCAACATGCAGATGCCCGTCGCGGAGGCTGGCGTTGGCGACGGCGAGGCGCAGGCCGCGGCGGCTGACGGCGGCCCCCTCCTCGCCGCGGCGGCGGCCCTGGCAGCAGTGGCGGCAGCGGCCGCTTCCTGCTCGCGGCCGTCGCCCGCGAGGCGCCGCCCCGCCTCGGCCGATAGGCCCGCGGAGGTGCTGCGCCGAGCACCCCTGCGCAGGGTGCAGGAGCAGTCGGGGCGCCGCGAGGCCTCGGCGCCCGCGCCCAGCCCGCGGCGGGCGGCGGCAGCGGCGGCTTGCAGCGGCGCAGCCCCTGAGGTGGCGGCTGATGCGGCCCGTCCAGCGGGATTGAGGGTCTACGGCCACCTCATGCGGGGGTCGCGCGTCGAGGGCAACGGCTCCGAGCCCCCCCTGGTCTGCTCAGCGTGCTGGGGGTGATGCCGCCTCCCCAGGTGCGCGCATCGCGGCCTGGCCATGCCGTGTGGGGCCAGTGCGGCGGCTGGGCAGCCCACGTCCCTGAGGGGCTCCCGAGCCCAGGCGCGGACGGACTTCGCACGGGGCATCCTGCCTGCGCCCAAGGATCCGTTCGCGCCGCTGGCCCCGCCTATGGAGAGCACGCGCTTGTGCTGGGCGACGGCGCTCCAGGCCAGGCTGGGCCGCGGGGCGGGGGAGCAGGCGCTCGCGGCGGCGCCCGTGCCATCGCAGCGGCAGCCTGCGGCCGCCCCGCTCCCGCCACCTGCGGCTGGCGATGGGGGCCAGGCGGCAGCGCCGCCGTGCGCCGCGGCGCCGCGGCGCCTGGTCGCGGCGGCCCCGCGGGCGGAGGCCGAAGAGCCGCGGCAGGTCCGCCCAGGGCTCGAGGGCGTCCACTGCGCCCGCGGCTTCGCAGTTGCTGCGGCGGCCCGCGGGCGCGAGAGAGCCGCGGGGTCGGCGGCCGCCCGCGCACGCCGCGCGGCCGGGCTCGCCGCGCGCTGATTGGATAATTTATGCATGAAACCGCCGAGCCCGCTCGGCGCCCACATAGATAAAAAAAAGACGGCCTTGAGACGGCCCAGCATGGGCTGCCGTGGACCCTGGGCGGCCTTTCGTCGACCCCACGGCAGCCTCAAACGCCCGCTTAGATGGGCGACAACAGCCCCAAGACGGACCAAGACTATGAATATACAAATCTATTGACACAGCTTGGTATTGATGCGATCCGGGGACTCTGGGATTTCTAACAACCTTCGCGCGGGGTACACCTTGCGTCGAATATTGTTCATTCGGCCTGGCGCCGCTGGCCGGTCACCGTCGCAATCGAATAATCGCCCGTAATGGGTTGTTTGGCACTTGCTGACCCCCTTCTTGTTGCCGAGCGCCGCGCGCCGCCGCGCACTGCGCGCCTCGGCAGATTTCCAAAGACCTGATAAGGCAAATCACGCGCGACTCTGGAAAATTCCCCGGGGGTAGACTTGAACAAATCTGGGGAAATTTTGGAACATGTCCGGCCAATTTCTGGAAACATCGGTGGATCGATTTTGGAATAAATTCGGAATCCATTTGGACAAATTCCAGATTTCATAACTATTCAGATGTCCTGCGCGGCGGGCGCATTCCATTCCAACCCTGCAAAAACCGTTTCTTGAAAATTGCCGGACTCCTTTTTGAACCGTTCCGGAACCGCTTTCGCAACACAAATTACCCGAACTCCTTCTTTATCGAAACGTTATACAATCTGGAAATAATTTCCGGGCGGTCTGACGGGCGCGACTGGCAATTTTTGGCACCGCGCCGCGTGCGATTGGGCGCAGCGCGCGCCGCGCACTGCGCCCGCGAACGGCGCTCGAAGGATCACCCCGAAAATCGCGCCACGGCAGCTGCGACTCGCGGACTCCCCAAGAGCCAAACAGAATGCAGCTTGGAATCTCCGAGGGCGCTCCGATGCGCGAACATGCGCCGCGTGCATCACGTAAGGAACCTGCGCGACGGAATGCGCTCGACCATTCGTCCCTCAAGCCCGCGCGGAAGGACGGGACAACCTGGAATTCTTGAATCCTATCAATATCAATACTTCGTGCACTTCTGAAACAGAGCGGCGTAACAGGGCTTCGAGGCTGCCTAGGGGTGCCCTAGAGGACCCTCAAAATTGCGTCGCACGAAACCAAGCCAGCCCCAAAACTGCCCAAACGAGTTCCGTGATAACCCCATCAAACAATGAAAACGAACAATATCATATGTGACTGCCTTCTTCTTCCTCCTTCACTTCCTCTTCTCGTTATTGAACGTCTCTGATGATCTATACTTATTATTGATCCCCCCCTCTCTGGTCACAGTTCTATTTTCTAATTAAAATGCTTGCCCCCGGCTCGGATTGTGTCCTTTCACAAGGCAGAGTGAAACATGAAATGTTACCAAACTGTGTCCCTGGCCCCCGGTTTACAACAACAGCGACTCCAGCCTAATTCTCATAAGCTATTCCCAAATTGCGGTCTCGCGCGGGCCTTCCTCCCGATTTATGACAGAATCGCGCTCTCGCGTGGGATGGTCTCCGACTTATTCAAACGCCGCGCCCTCGGCACTCAGGAATCATGCTCTCGCTGGGATGCTCTCGCTCGAGACTCGCGATTCGTGCAGGACGCACACTTCCACAAACAACCTGCTCGACCTGGCCGCCCAGGCTTGCCTTCCCAACCCGCCCGTTTGGGTCTACCCGCCCGATTTGTCCGTCTGGTTCTGCGACTTGTTTTCTGCTCCTACCCCCCTTCCTGCTACTCTCTTTCGTGCTCCATCTTCCTTCTTCCCCTGCCTTAGTGGCTACACGAAATCCGCCGACCCTGTCGGCGTGTGGAAGACGCTATTCCGTTGGTAGACGCTATTCCGTTGGTCGCCGTCGTCGTCGTCGTGTCGCTTCCGTCGTCTCCTCGTCGTCTCCGTCAATCGTCGTTTTCGTCGTCCCCGATTTCCTTTCCTTGGGCCCTCGTTGTCGTCGTCGTCTCCTCGTCGTCTTCTGCGTCTCCGTCGCGTCGTCTCTTTCAATCGTCGTCTCCATCGTCCCTCGTCTATCCTGGGCCCTCCCCCTTAAGCGCGCCAGCCAAACCTGTATCGACCAACGTTGTAGCTGAGTCGAAAGGAAGCCCCTTCCCATTGATCCCCTCCCCGCCGGGGGGGGGTCCTGGGGGGAGTCGCCTCCAAAATGCGCATCCCCTCACAGGGTTCAGGGGCCCAGAACAACCCCAAGTCGCGGCGAGAATGCCCCCTAAAATTGTCTTTGAGGGCACCGAATCGCAGAATGATCGGTCCAAGACGCCAGAGAGAGTCGCCTCCAGACGGCTCGAGGGGTTTCCAAAACGCCCCAAGAGGCTTCCAAGAGCACTTCCAAGAGGGCCTCCATGGGCAAACATTGCAGATTTCCTTTGAATTATCAAGATTTTGGTGTTCTCGCCTTGTCGGCTTCCCGGCGCTGCAAAAAAGCCCAAGAGCGCCCAAAAATCGCCCAAAAGGCTTCCAAAAGGGCACCAAAATTACCCAAGATGGCCCCAAGACCGCTCAATACCGCCCAAGAGGCCTCCAAGACAGCCCAAGAGGCCCCCAAGACGGAGCCTGGACGGGGGACCCAAACTGATATTTCGAGCCCTCCACGAGGCTCCCAGATGCCCCCAACAAGCCCCCCCAAAGACCCAAAGAGGCCCCCAAGAGCCCCCCAAAATGTCCCCAAACTACCCCCAAGAAGCCCGGAGAGCGCTCGTCGTCGTCGTCGTCGTCGTCGTCGTCGTCGTCGTCGTCGTCGTCGTCGTCGTCGTCGTTATCGTCGTTATCGTCGTTATCGTCGTCGTCGTCGTTGCCGTCGTTGCCGTCGTTCGTCGTTCGTCGTCGTCGTCGTCTTCGTCGTCTTTCTTCTTCGCCGCCGCCGCCGCCACCGCCATTGGTGTCGTCGTCGTCGTCGTCGTCGTCGTCGTCGTCGTCGTCGTCGTCACTCAGGGACAACTGGGCGGGTATGGAGGGTTTGGGATATACGTTGTGAATGGCCTGCGGGCAGATGAGGGCGAACAATCTTAAAATTGATGTTGTTGCTGTTGTTGTTGTTGATGCTGTTCTGGAAGTCTGCTTTCTGACGAATGCTCATTGTTGATTCCCCCCTCGGGTAACCATTTGATTTTAAACTAGACTGCTGATCATGGGGCTCGGACTGGGTTTTTGCAAGGGGGAACTTGGTGTCACCAAACTGGGCACCTGGCCCCCGAGCTGCAACAAAAACGGCTCCATCGTGATATGTCCTCACAACTTCTTTCGAATTCGCGCTCTCGCGCGGGACGTCCTCACAATGTATGCAGGAATTGCGCTCTCGCGTGACGCTTTCTCGCAATTTATTCAGACGCCGCGCCCTCGACACTCATGCACGCTCTCGCTTTACCCTTTTGTTGCGATTTACTTGGGGATCGCGCCATCGCTTGAGACTTCCTCGCGATTCATGCAAGACTCACGCTTCAGCAACCCGCCTGCTCGACCTGGCCGACTGGGCCCGCCTTCCTGGCCTGCCCGCTAGAGTCTGCCCGCCGATCTGCCCGTCTGGTTATGCCGCGTGCTTTCTGCTCCTAGCCCCCCCTCCTGCTAATCTCTCTCGTGCTCCATCCTTCTTCCTCCACCTTCCATTCCTCCGCTACCCTGTTTTAGGGGTTGCACAATGCGCGTGGCAGGGAAGGAGTCTATACCCCCAAAGAGTTACGATCGCAAACGGACAGGGACGGTTTATATATACGTGTTGAGTGGCACGCGGAGCAATGGAAGTAAACAGTCTTAATATGATTGTTGTTGTTGTTGTTTTCGTTGTCGTTGTTGCCGTTGTGGTTGAATAGCTCTCACGACTGAAGAGTAAGGATTGTTGATCCCCCCTTCCGCTGACACTTGTTTTTCAATTGAAATGCTTCCTCCGGGGCTCGCACTTTTTGTTTTAGTGTATATATATATATATATTATATATATATATATTATATATATATATATATATATATATATATATATATATATATATATATATCAGCGAGAGTCATTGGGCTCAAACTTGTTTGAAGGCCCCCAGATTACATCAACAACGGCTCCCGCCTGAAATTTCCTTACCATCTAGCCAGGGCCCAACTCCCGCCTGATTTCTCCTCGCATTTTACTTAGGAGTCGCGCTCTCTCGCTTGGGACTTCCTTGGATATCCTCTGGAGTCGCTACTATAAAATCGCGCTATCGCAGCCCATGCAGAAACGATGCCCAAAGGAATCGCCTCGAAGGGAAAAACAAAGGGCAGCGAGGGGGCAACGAATGGCTGCAACATGGCCACAAACGGCAGCGAGGGGGCCGCGAAGGGCTGCAACGGGGCCACGAAGGTCACGAGGGGGCCACGAAGGGCAGCGAGATCCCGATTCTGGAGTCAGCTGCAAGGGAGTCCTAAGCGCGAGCGCGACTCCTGGGCGCCTGAGTGTCGGGGGCGCGGCGCTTTAGTAAGTTCTAAACGCTTCGCGTAACCCCACCAGCACATCCAGACACGATGCCCAAAGGAATTGTCTCGATCAGGGAAATGGGCAGCACACGGAGGAAGGGTCCCCCAGTGGAGGCCTCTTGGGGCGTCTTGGGGGCCTCCTGGCGGTCCTGGGCGCCTCTTAGAGCGTCTTGGGTGCCTCTTGGGGGTCTCTTGGGAGCCCCTTGGAGGCCTCTTGGGCGCCTGTTGGGGCCTCCTGGGGCCCTCGTGAAGCGCTCTTGGGAGCCTTGGGAGCGCTCTTGGAACCTTTTTGGGCCATCTTGAAGCCCCGGCGAGAAAACCAACAGCATGGATTTCCCGAAGGGTATGGAAGGATTTTGGCCTCATCGGGGCCTCCTGAGGGAGCTCTTTGGCCACTTGGAGCCGTGTTGGAGCGGTCTTGGGGCCTCTTGGAGCATCGTGGGAACCATCTTGGGCTCGCCCCAGGGCTCTTGGAGTCATCTGAAGCAGTGGCCCCCCCAGGAGACCAAC